CGAGCCAGTTTGGGATTGGTGCAGTGCTGCAACAAGATGATGGCGATGGTCTGCGTCCGCTTGAATATTACAGCAAACGCATGCCCAGCCACAAGGTAGTCACTTCCACATACATGCGGGAGCTCTACGCCTTGCGCGAGGCGCTCACGCATTGGAAGCACTACCTCTTGGGTCGCCACTTCAAGGTCTATTCAGATCATCAGACCTTGCAATGGATTAAGACACAAACTGACCTCTCTCCAACACTGACTCGCTGGCTGCATGACATTGATGTTTTCAACTTTGAACTAAAACATAAGAAAGGCTGATATAATCGTGTTGCTGATGCTCTGTCGCGCCATCCCGAGTATTTGACTTGCCTTGTGGACTCGTACGACCTCCGGAGGAAACTGAAGGAGGATCTGGTCGAGCACACTGCCAAGGATCCGGACCTTAGTCCCATCCTGGAGCAGCTCAAGGCTGACCCCAACAGTCAGCCTGATTTTCATGAATGCGAGGGTCTTGTATTTCGCCGGTACGAAAAGTTTGACCGTTTGTGTGTACCCAACCATGCGCCTCTCCGAACTCACTTCTTGGATCTGGCGCACGGTCGGAGTGGACATTTTGGCTTTGAGAAGACTTATGGAAGTCTTCTGCAACAATTTGACTGGCCAGGAATGAAAGGATCTGCTCAGAAATTTATTGCTGAATGTCAAGTATGCCGAAGGATCAAGGTTCACAGGCATAAGCCTTATGGCCTATTGAGACCTCTTCCCATTTCCGATGGACCCGGCGAGTCGATTTCCATCGACTTCATGGACATGGGAAAATTGAGTGAGGCTGGGAATTCACAAGTCATGGTCATTGTGGACCGCTTATCCAAATTTCTGAACTTGATTCCTCTCCCTCCTCACGCCCCGATTGAACTTGTCATAGAAGAATTCCATCAGCAGTACATTCTGCAGTCCGGCGTCCCGAAAACTATTGTGAGTGATCGGGACACCAGATTCATCAGCAAAGATTGGAAAGACTTCACATCTCAGATCTACGACATCAAACTGAACAGGACTTCTGGTCGACACCCCGAAGCCAACGGATTGGCTGAGGAGATCAACCAGACTGTCATCCAATTGCTTCACGCACTAATTGTTCCATACTAGAACACGTGGGACAAGGAATTGCACAAAGTGAAGGGGCTGTACAACAACTCCATTCACTCTGCGACTGGTGTGACACCAAACCAATTGCAGTATGGATGGCCGATGCGTAATCCCCTCTCCTATCTGTTCCCTGAACGGTCACCTGGTCTGATGCCCAGCATGCCTGGCTACAATGCCAAGTACGCACGCTTGCTCAAAGCTGCTACAGCAGCTATGAACAAGCGCCAACATGCCATGATCAAACATGCCAATAAGCGGCGCAAAGAAGAAAAGTTCAAAGTAGGGGATTATGTTTGGGTCAAAATGTCTGAGTTTCCTGATGAAGAGGGCATATCACGGAAGCTTCTTCCACTGTACTACGGCCCTTGGCAGATTCTGAAGGTAGTCGGGGATGATTTCTGTCCTTCGTATGTGATTGACGTGCCTCCTCATCTGCGCACGTATCCAGTCTTCCATGCCTCCAAACTGTTCCCACACATTGATGATGAGACTTTTCCCTTCCGTGATCCTATGATACCTCGCCCTATTGACGGCGGCCATGAGATTGACAGAATCGTTTCTCACGAGGGGAGAGGAAGGAACAAACAGTACAAAGTTCATTTCCTCTACCACCCGTTGAACGRATTCTTCTGGATCGACCGGAAAGAACTGATAAAGAGTGCTCCACGTGTTGTGAACGTATATGAACAACAGATTGTTGACGGACAGACCACTAAGTTTGCTGCAAAACTCACTCCGTTCGGACTCACTAACACTCTCTTTTTGATCTATGGCTATGACGGCTTCTGTGCCGACTCTGACTGAGTTACTCGCTCGAAGGGACCTCGCTCTCGAGAGGGGAGTAATGTAATGACCCGCCCAAAACACAGACTGAGAACACTGCTGATTTCTGGGATTTGCCAATGGAATGAATGCCTTGCTGTGATTCCCGCATTCT